GGCTCACATCCAAGGGTTCATTTTCTACCTACAGTACCACTTTGGTGGATGACAGTGAGGCAGCAGTGAAGACAATAGTTGAGAAAAGGGCAGAGAAGGAAAGGAACAAGATGCTCTTCAATCTGCACAAAAACACACCATACCCAGCTGTCCGGAGAGGGGTGCTTAAAGATTTTCAGGCAATTTCCACTCCAAATCTCAAGACAAGCACTAAAGAAGAGGGTAGGAGCACACCTCTGAAGATAAGGAGACTGCCATTGAAAGTGGAGACCAAGCCAGCTCTGGTTTTATCTCAAGAGTCTCCATTAAGTCCAAAGCAGGGAGCAGAACATACAAAGAAACATCCTGAGGACAGAACACCAGAACCACAGGAGGAGCATGGTGCCATGGACTCCTCCAGCATGCATCCAAGCATCAGGCAGAGTCATCTCCAAGACGCAGCCACTGGCAGGGAATCCAAAGGCAAGCTTCTCAGATACATAGTCCAAGGAGATGTACGTGTGGAACACCCAAAGAAGAAAAGACTAAGTCCCAGAAACAATCTCCACAGCTTAGAATACGTACCTGCAGGTCCAGCATCACTGAATCCAAATCACTCCATCCTCAGGCAAGTTACTCATGAAAGAAACAGCTCAGTGTCTGGGAGAGACAATCAGAGGTCTCCCACAGCCCACCCATTTTCAAGGCTCCCTTTTCAACAGCTCCTTGGAGAAAGAAGAGAGGCAGCACTGCAAGCCCACAAAATCAGAACACACAGCGCAGGAAGAAGACAGGAAACAGTCTTTAAAGAGAATGGAAAACAAACTGAAAGGATTTCCATCATCACAAAGGACAGAAACTTTCTTTTCTAATGCAGATCTCTCACTTCTTCACCCATTAGCAACTGCTAAATACTTACTCATGAAAAACCTTACCCATGATCTAAACACTGTCCCTGTACTCAGCAAGAAATTGCTTTCCTCTTGTATAAAAACACAGCATCAAGGCAGGATTGAAAAGTAAGATATGGACGCAGGTCACAGCTGGCCCTGCAGCCCTTTGAATGGAGACACGGAGACAAGCAGTGAGAATGGGCAGCAAAGAGAAGGCCAGCTGGACAGGGACTAAGGCATCTTAAACTTTTTACACCAGGCTTCATCTTCACACCAAACAGTTTTCAGAGAACTATCTAGGAGGAACATGACTCTGGGGAACGTTTTGGCAGCATTGCTTACTGGAAGAGAGTAAAAGACAGTAATTTAGCGACCATTAGCAACTTGCTTTTTTCAGGGTTTGGGGAGGAAAAAGCAATGCAAGGTGAGGTGAGGCTGGCTCTAATTCCTGAACTTCGTACAATACCAACAAATAAAACAAATGAAAATGAATTGACTACAGAAGCAAGGAGGCATTCCCTGCCACCAGTCATGCCTTATGCATGGAGGGGGGATGCAGGATCCTCCTCACATTTAGCTAAGCAAAGATAAAGCCCACTGCTACTGGGAGATGAGTGCTACGCAGGAGCAGAGGATATGGTTTCTTGCTTCACTTACAAAAATCCCTGCCACAGTGATTTTGAGCAAAATACCTCAGTCTGAGAACTCTGTTTTCTCATCTGTAAATGAAATCTGGGCGAGATGAGCAGTTAGGTTATTTTTACTGCTAAATTTACACAATTGCCACAAAAACTAAGACTGGATTATTGCCCTTGAGAGCAAAGAAATGACACCATTTTTTGCTCTGTCAGTTCACATTTCAGAATCTTTTTCTGGGAAGGAGGGAGAGAAGAACAACTTTTTTGAGATACATAAGACAGTTATAATTTTTATTATCAATTAGGTGGACATGAACTAAGACTATCATGTGAAGTGGACTTATGTATTAAAATGAATTAACACTGGGACTCTCGAGTTCCAAATGACAGTTAAAGTAACCAAAGAAAGAACTGATGTCACAGAGCACAGGGCTCTGTAACACGATCACAATGTCACTTATAAAAGCAGATGACTCAGGTGAGGTGTAAGTCCTTCCCACACAACTGCCCCTGCTTTATGTGAATGCATGTTCACTTCATTGATTTCCTCCATGGGTTCTTTACATGGGTACATTCAAAGCATACAACTGGTTGTGATGAAAAACAAGAGAGCCATGCTAACTTGAACAGTAGGCTATGAGGGTGGACCTGCAGAGTAAAAACTCAGTGGCATGAAAGCAGTCCTCAATTAGGCAAAGTTGGGAAAATGACCAATTTACTCACCACCTCCTTAGGAATACTTGAAAGAGAGCTGGTTTTGCTTTTATTGCTTTTCTGAAACCAACTATGTTACTAAGAGCAAAATGAGAGTGGTAGTTGTCACTGCACAGTGGGAAGAAAGCAAAAGAGCATCTGAATTCCAGAAAAATCTCTATCAAATATCACGAATAATATCCAGTTTTAATCGGCAGTTTCTCTAAAAACCTCAAACACTAAACAAATCAGCCCATTTGTCTTTACTATCATAATTTTATTCACACATTTAACAAATGTATCATGGAAAGAAAACTAAAATTGCTTTCTCTCAAGGGAAATTCAGACACTATGAAATGATAATTGATAATGATATCTGAGAAACTAAAACTTAAAAACAAATCTATCCTATAGCACACAAAGGTGAACGGCCACTTCACGGGTTTGGGTGCTGGAAGCAAATATACTGGAGACAATTTCTGAAATTTATTGTTAGCTACCAGAATAATTTCCATCTGTCAGGGTCTAGGTGCAATTCATACACTTTTGTGGAGCTGGGATCCTCATCTTTCTGAAGAAACAGGTCTTTAGCCATTCACACTGGGAAGTGGAACACAGCAGTGTCAAGCACAGGGAAAGGACTTAAGAGGAAAATAATCACAATGGATGATGATTTTAGAGATTAGAATCTAAACTTAAAAGTTTTCAAGGTAACTTTCACTTGGCTGATTCATCTACATGGTGATGACATTCTAACTATATAAGAAATCTTCAACTCTGTGGACCAATATAACCAAAAGCTTATTTTGAAGCAAAATTAAAACCCCTTTTATGTGCCCTCCTTAAAAGTTACAATTAGAGTTGACACTAGGGGAAGAGGGCAAGTTAGTATTCAAGACAGGAGGGAGTGTTTGGGAAGTTTTTCAGACAATCTGGTAATTGTGTGGCTGCATAAGGCATAGTTGTGTTTGACTTCAGGCTCGGTGGTGCAAGCCCATGAAGACAGGTCCTCGCTTCAATATATCGATCTCTCTAGCACAGATAAGACAAAAATAAGTCAACAAATGGTTTTCCTCATCTTCCTTCCGTGTGATTTGCCTCTTACATGCTAATGTTTCCAAGTATCCTGTCCTTGATCTCCTCCCTTTAATCCCTTATTCTAGTGATAATGTTTCTGTTAACAGGATTTTTAAAGTCTTTTTCTGTAGGATTTCTTCTTGACATATCTTGAACTGCCTGACAGTTCACTATGTGGTTGTTTTTGGCACTTCAACTAAATCATGATCTAACAATACTGTTTCTTCCCCAAATCCACGTCTATTCTGGTAAATTCAACATTACTACTGCCCATCCAGTCATCCATCTTTGACCTTTTCCAAATCAACACTCTGTGACTAAGTCCCAGTCCCAAGCATGTCATGGACTGTCTTCCTTCCTTCAACACGTAAGCTAATCTGCCTTTCTGGAATTACATCATAGTCTACATACAAAATGCACAGTCACTTTTGCTTTTTCAATTCATATTATAAAAGAAACAAACACAAATCCAACTGCATCTTTGCATCTTAAAGTTTCCAGATTTCAAGACCCTCCCATTATCCTGATCCCTTTACCTTAGAGTTCAAAGAACTGTTTACTTGTCTGATACAAAACCTCATCATGTTTAAGTTTCAGTTGATCTTCATCACCTATCTGCAAAGGTAATGAAATTGTACTTCTACATTGCTTTATAACACTTATTATCTTGCATTGATGTTCTGGCTTAATCCCCTTGAAACAGACTGCTTTAATGAAGTGGTTCTAAATAACTTCAAAACCTTGAAAAGCTGAAAACTCCATAGGCATTTTGCCCAGGAATGTTTATAAAAACATTTCATATTTGCAATAGGAACATAAGTATAATCATCCTGTATTAAGTCCTTTCCACTGTTCAGAGTTACTGAACCACAACAACTGTGTGGTGTGTAGAACACAAATTACTTCCCTGTGTTAGCCTGTTGCGTGAGTTTTTCAAGACATGAAATCAGCCCATGTAGCTTTCCTGGTTACTTTCAGGTAATAAGAGATCTAATTTTCTGGATGTTAAGAAATTATAAAAGTGAAACATCAAAATGCCAAACAATCTTAAAGCCTAAGATTGCTGAATGCTTAGGCCTTCCTCTGTGAGTAGGAAGCCTGAAGATCAAAGTGTACATAACTTGCTTCTTTGTTACCTTCTTTCCCATTCTATTTAAAGCTGGCCCAACCCTCTGGTGGGAACAGAATTAAAAAAAAAAAAAAAAAGATCCTACCGTACCTGCTCTAGTTTCTTGGTGACATGCACAGGGTAACTTTCTTCCATGGAATATTCCCTGCTAGCCATAGCAAAAAATTCTGATATAAGTGGTAATTTCCAGCCTCTCCAAGATACCAACAGCCTTGATCCTGGACTGCTCTCAGTTGCTGCTTGCTGCCTTTATTACACCCATGCAGACAGGCTAGGCTTTAACATGGCCCAGGGTCCAACTTTCATAGAACCAGCTGAGAGCCAGAGAAAAGATACTCCATAACCCCTTCAATGCTGGAAGCTCCCTTTGTTCAGTTTATACAGCCCCTGGACAAGTATCTTACCTTGGGACCTTTTCCACAAAATACCATTCCTGAATACTCCAAGTTCTAAAAATAATTGGCCATGGTCTCGAAGTAGTCCATCTGAAACATACCTCACTGGTTCTGAGGACAGGGGAAGTTTCCAACTCACTGTATGAGGACCAATATTATCCTGATATAAAAACCAGACAAAGATAAAACAAGAAAATCACAGACCAATATCCTTTATGAATATAGATGCAAATATTCTAAACAAAATACTAGCAAACCAAATCCAGCAGCATAGAAAATGGTTTATATAGCATGGACAAATGAGATTATTCCAGGAATGCAAGGTTCGTTCAATATACAAAAATCCATCAACGTTATACAACATATCAATAAAGGACAAAACTACATGACAGCCTTAATAGATACAGAAGAAGCATTTGACAAAATCCAATATCCTTGTTTGATAAAACACTCAACAAACTAGAAACAGATGGGAATTTCCTCAACTTGAAGCATCTATGATAACCCCACAGCTAACATCATACTTAATGGTGAAAGACTGAATGCTTTCCTGCTACCATTAGGAATAAGTAAAATATTTCTGCTCTTGCCACTTCTATTCAATATTGTATTGGAGGTGCTAGCCAGGGCACTTGGGCAAGAAAAATAAAAAGAATCCAGACTGGAAAGAAATAATTTCTATTCACAGATACACGATCTTGTATACATAATCTAAGGAATTCAAATAAAAAAATATTAGGATAAATGACTTGAGAAAAACTATAATATACAAGATCAATGCACAAAAACCATTTATATTTCTAGACATTTTCAATTATTCAAAAATGAAAACTAGTAAACAACTGTAATAGCATTAAAAATAATAAAATAATTAGAAAAAAATTTTTAACCAAAGAGGTCAGGATTTGTACATTGAAATACATACAGTATCACTGAAGGAAACTAAAAACCAAAACAAATGGAAAGACATCCCATGTTGCTTGGATTGAAAACTTAATACTGTCAAAATACCAACATTCCTCAAATTGGCATACAGATTCAACGCAATCACTATAAAAATTCCAGCTGCCTGATTTACAGAAATTGAAAAGCTAACCCTAAAAATCATATGGAAAGCAAGAGATCCAGAATAGACAAAATGATTTTGAAAAAGAACAAAGTTGGAAGATACATCCCAAATCTCATTAAAAGCTACAATAATCAAGACAATGCAGTACTGGATTAAGATACACATATAGAACAATGGAATAAAATTGGTATTTCAAAAATAGTTTTATATATTTACAGTAAATCACTTGTAGTCATGGATGCCAAGACTATTCATGGGAGAAATGTCTTTTTGACAGCTGGTGCTTAGACAAGTGGATATTCATTCACATAACAAAGAATGAAGTAGGACCCTATACACACCATATACAAAAATGGATCAAACACCAAAATATAAAAGCTGAAAGTACTATATGCCTAAAAGAAAACAGACACATATCTTTGACTTGGAATAGGCATTGGTTCCTTAGAAATGGCACAAATGCACCAACCAACAATAGGGAAAATAGGCAGTTTAGTCAAACTGAAAAAAAAAAAAAAAAAAATGTTTTGTGCTTTAAGGGACTCCATCAAGAAAATGAAAAGACCACCCACAGAATGGGGAAAAAGGTTACTACAAATTATTTACCTGGATTTGTAATCCAGAATGTCATTTAAAAAATCAGTATAATTAAAAATATTCAAAAAAAGCCCCAAAACTACATTTTAAAAAATGGCTGACAGATCTGAACAGTCATTTCACTAACAATATACACATGACCAAAAAGCACATGAAAGACGCTTTACATCACTGACCTCAGGGAAACACAAATTAAAACTACAACATACTGCTTTACCCCCACTAAGAATCAAAACTGGATAAATGAGTTGCCCAGGATGGGGAGAAGTTGGAACACTCACACACAGCTGGTTGGAATGCAAAATAGTGTAGCCATTTGGGAAATGTTTGACAGTTCCTCAAAGGGCTAGAAAAAAGTCACAGTATGATCCAGCCATTTCACTTCCAGGTATATAACCGAAAGAAAAAACTTAGGTCCACATAAAACACACACAAATGTTCATAGTTGCAGTTTTCGTAACAACCAAAAAAAAAAAAAAAAAATAGAAACTCAAGCATCCATCACTGAATCTATCAACAAAAAAGTTATTATCAAAACAAAGACATCATTAAGCCACAAAAAAGAAATAAACCACTAATACATGCTACAAGATGATGGGTCCTGAAAGTAATATTCTAAGTGGGGGCAAAAAGATACAAAAGGCCACAAACTGCGTGATTCCACTGATAAGAAATGTCCAAGACATGTAAATCCATATACAGAATGTAGATTAGTGGTTTACCAGGGTCTAAGGATAAGCAGTCACTCCAAATGTGTACACAAGTTGCTTTTGCAGTGATGAAAACGCTCTGAAATTACATAGCAATGACTGCACAATACCATTGACTCTACCAGGAACTACTAATTGTACGCTTAAAAGGATGATCTTTATGGTATGCTAATTACATCTTAATTAAAGATGAGGAAAAAACACTCCTCTTCCATTTTAAGGTGGATGAAGAGTGTCAATTCCACAAACTCTTAGTTTCTCCCTTCATGCAAATATGGGGATAACCCATCTGTCTCTCCAGGATGTCTTGCAAGATGTTACGTAGCATCTGTATTTTAATCTCATTGAATCCTGACAACCAGTGATAAGGTAGGACAGGGTATAATCTAAGCCATAGGAATGGCAGGGCCAGGACTCAAATTCAAAGATACTGACTCTGGAGGATTCACCCTCAAATTCCATGTGCCACTTGTCAGATAAACCTCTAATGCTTCCAGTGGACTGGATGATAAAGCTAAGATAATTATTGTAGGTGTTGTTTGGCTGAGTCTAGGAATCCTGATTCGAGCTCTTGACGATGTGAAACTATCATATGGGCAATGGTTCAGCTCCACCTACTTACCGGCTATGTGACTTTTGGTAAGATGCACAACCTCTTGGGCTGTAGCAATTATTCCATAAAAATGAAAGATCATGTATACAAGGTATTTGATGCACAATGCAATTTAGATACTTTCAGAATCTGGTGGGAGTATGAAAACATGTCAACATGTGGCTCTCACATAAAATGTATTCATCATGGTGTTTCATTTAGTATGGAATGCAGTATTGTGGCTAAGGATTGCTCCTTGACAGGTATGAGTAGCTGGGAACAATACAAGATGACAGACCCCTCCCCCACCCCATCCATTGGGAAATACAGGATTGAGAACGACCAGGGATGGTGGGTGATCAGAGATGTATTGCCAGAGAGCCCACCAGGAAGGCAGGATGGGGGAAATCATGCTAAAATCTTGCTCTTATGGACTCATTCCCTTTCATCCTTTGTGGCAATCTTTTTTTCCATAGGTTGGAATGACAGGGGCAAGAATTCTGGAAAGCCTATTCAGGGAGCTAATCCTGAATTACTAAATATTCAAATACTTCAAAATATAAGAGGATTTCTATGGGAAGAAGGGAAATAAGAGTCTGACTTCAGTAAAAAATCATCAGTTTCACTGAACATTTTAATATAGGCTGGGTTATTTCCAACCACTGCGTAGTGATACTGGTAAGGTACGTACGTACAGGAGGGACTATGCACAAGGGGTTTAGCCAAACCTTTAACAAAAAATCATTTACACACCTATTATAGTAATGAGAGGCAAAAAAAATCTTGACTATAAATGTACTCCAAGCATTAATTATACGTTAAAAAAACACTTCATAGTCAAACCTAAAGTGTGGAAAGGACCTCAGCAAAAGCAGCCTAAACAGTAAGAATCTGAGTGACTCCATACCATTCAAAAATATACCCCCACCGTGCTGTGGTACTATGGATTTGTGGGGTGTTCTGAGGTTTTGGAGGCACTTTGAGGGTCAAAAGACATTGGCAGAGTGCTTTTATAATTTGGCTTTGAAGGGTATTTAATAAATACAAATGTAGCACAAGTAGGGATTCATGGAAAGATAGCTTTGGAACAGAAGTGAGAAGTGGAAAGGCAGGTGGGCTGTCAGTGCAGGGCACTGGATGCCAAACTGGAAAGTGAGTCTTAGGGCACAGGGTATTAAGAGCAGCAAAACTATACTTCAGCAAAATGGAAAGAGTAAAGAGGTGATCAGTCAGGCCTTATAAGAACAAGCAATGAAGGATATCCAGATGTGGGAAGGCCTTGATCTAAAGTATGAAAAAGGAGGAACAGAAGAGATTTGAGGTAAAAGGACTGATATCTGTGACAAAGAACAAGAGACTGTGGGAAGTGACATTTTTAAGGAGAAGTAAATCACAATAGAGATGAAAGATAAAAGCTTCATTTTCATTGAGGTGATAGAAGGGCAAACTACAGACAGAACTCTGGACAAGAGAGGAGTGGGAGTCTTTGGGACCAACTGATGGCAAGAAACATCGAGATAAGTTCAGACAAAAAATGAATTGGAGGAGGATCCACATAAGATGTGTACAGAAAGGGGGAACAGTTTGAGAAGCAGCAGCCCACGTTCAGGGTATTCTTGGATGTTAAGGACAGAGGAGGCTGTGAGTATGCTTGGGGAATCGATGGTCTTCAGAGAAACAGCATGGAATGCACAGCCTTTCGCAGTGAAATCCATCCCACTTGTACATAAAAATCTGTTTAACTGTGAACAAACGTAAATCCTCTGATCTGAACAAGGAGGGGAGGAACCCTCTCTCCCCCATTCAGGAAATTCTTCACGCACTGATAAAAAGAAGTAAGACAAAAGAGAGCACAAGTGGAAACTGTGTCTGGTGATTCTTTGGTGATACAGAGAGGGTGGATAGGTTGCAGAAGTTCCTTAGGCTGGTAGGCCAGAAAAGATAATATTAAGGTAAACAGGGCACAAAGATTATAGAGAGAGTAACCTTTAGAAGACACTTTTGCCTCTGACAAATCATCTGAATTCTTAGAATAATTCTTAAAAGGGGCAGGAAATTCTCATACTGCCATGTTTTTATGGCAACAGTAGTGACGTTACCCAGGTACTTCTGTCTCTTGTAATATGTTAGCTGTGGCAAGGGATGAGTAACATCACAGGTTATCTGTTTGAAGATTCATGTTCTTTTTGATATATATCTCTGTAAAAAGGCATGTATCCCAAAATAAAGCTAAAGATACTGTATTCAGATTTTACCATACATTTAACAACAGCCCAGTAAAGCAATATATAAATTAAGGGACCCTGGAGTTGCTAGGCTCCAGAGAAAGTATAGCCACATGCTGTGATTTTATACATCTGGATTATCCTATAATAAGAAAAGGCAAAAGAATTTCACATTTTGTTTATAAAGATAGTTTATGGTTCATTCTATTCCTAAGGGCTTCCTGCAGACTGTAGGCCAATAAAAATATCGTAATATGTAACAGACTATCTAAGGAAAAAAGCATGTTTATAGCAGTATCTGGAGTAGAGGGAGTAGCCAGTATACTACACTACAGTGAAATTCCTCTTATTATCCTCTTAGGATATTTAGTGACATTCTGGTAAACACAAGTGAAAAGGCAGTTATAAGAGAGTCATAAAATCTTGGGATAATTATTAACTAAGCAAGGGGAGGAACAACTAGTTTAAATCAGTAATTACATTTAATAAAAGTTTAAGGATAAGTTGTCTTTTTGTTAAAAGAATTGGTATGAAACCAACTATATTCAATTATTTAACAACTTCATAGATATTATTGTAAATGTAGAACTCCAATACTGTAGTGATAAAACTTGAGAACTGAAGAGCATAAATTTCTTCATGAATTTATTATATAAAATTTCCCCATAATACTCCATTTTCCCTCTTCTTACATTACATAAGAAGCACAGTGGATGAGAGGGCCTTTGACTTTAAGATAGTCATTTGAGGGTCCCTTGCATCAAGTAAAGTACATACCTTTACAATACTCTTAACAGTTGGCCCAGAAGAAAGCCAAAAAACCCATGTTACCTTATCACAATATGGAAAGCATAATCTTCTTAATCATTAAGTTGTGAAAATGCCACTGCTTTATTGTTAAAGTACGAGACAGTTCTCTCTCAATTATTAAAGAATTAAAATAATCCTGAAAGACATCCTTTTTTCCCTTTAATGATTCGACAGCTGTATTTTCCCTATCAATTTGAAACAAATCATCAAGCTGATCTGTAGTAATCAGTTAAAAACAATCAAGGCCCAAGCTCAGCACATTAGCTGCAGCTTGTAGAAGGATATATTAACCTCTCTCCTTAGTTAAAAATACACAATCCTTTTACTAAATAATGTAAAAAAGAAATCAACATCACCAAAACAGAAGACTAGGAAAGGGAAAACTACTTACTTCTTAACAGCAAGTAATTTAGGCCTAATTGGACTTTTTCCACCCTTAGCATTTGAAAGATCTTCTTTTTTAAAACTTTCTGAAGTAATTTTAATTGTTGGGGATAACAGCATAACTGTTAGGAGTGAAAGCTCCATTCCTTTCCAGGTCTGTTTACTGTCCAGGTGATACAAGGCACAGCAGCCACCCTTTCTACTATGTCACAACCCTGGTCATCTGCCTTGCTAAAAAGCTGCTCAAACAAAATAATGACAACATAAAGGTGAGACTTTAGATTGTCTATTTAAAATCTAGGCAATAATTAATAAAAGGATAAGTGCACTTTCACATGCATTTGTTTTATAATAAACTTTATAACTATCGCAATAGGCTTGACAATCATTTCATTTGGCCAAATGCACTTTTCCCAATAAACTTAACCAACAACAACAACAGAAAAAACAAACAAAAACAAACAAAAAAAACCCTTGACCTTTCATATACTAAAGATTGACTACTGAAAGTTCATTGCAAGACACATGAAGACAACATACTGTGGCATGAGTTGTTTTTAATTTGTTGTGCTGTTACTAAAGTAAAAGTTCTGAGGGCTGCAGTTAAAACATTCCAAGTTCTCCCTTCCATCTTTATTAAGATTTTGCACAGAAAACTCTTTGGGGGACTAGAACAGCAGTAATTGCATCACACTGTTTCCAAGACTTCAAGTTTCAAAAGCAAATCTTAAAAAAAAAAAAGTTCCTGATTTTTGTTAGATACAGGGACAAAAATAGTATGTACTTGAAGGTTACATGTTCTACAAATGGTGGAAATGTTTTCCTTGGGGGAGTAGTTTTGTTGGTGTATATATACTTTAAATACTTAAAAAGGCTCGACCTCAAGCAGTAATAAACACAAGCAAAAGTGATTTAACCCTTAAAATAAATATTCAGAAAAACCTCTCTGTACATACAAGTGAAAGAATATGTAACACTTTCACGCAAAAAAATAATTATAATAATAATAAAGGATTTGTTCATATATGTAGCTGAAATCTGCTGTTCCAGCCCACATGTCCCCAAATGAAGAAGGGAGGCACAGACAGAGGTGGCTACTGTGATTCACTATCTTACAGCCGTTTTTATACTGGGACACTACCACAACCAAATTTATCTCTCTTATTATATTTATTAAAATTTTTTTTCTTTTTTCTTCCTTGTTTTGTTTTAGTTTTGATTTACAGCATGCCAAATCCTTTGGCATATGTGATGGCCTTCAACAATCTCTCTTTAAGCTTTTCTTTGCTTGAATATTCCGGAAGTAAAAGGACATTAAAGCAAGTATGAGATGTAGGTAACCTAAATAGAGAGAAAAGGGGAAAACAGGAAAATAATAAGTCATGGGAAATATGCTCAATATTAAATGCTCCTATTCTTAGATGGTATATACAGCTGAGATGGTTTGCAATGCTTAGACCTTACTGTGCAACTACGAAGAATCAGGCTGTCATCCTATACATCATTCAGGGCTATAATGATCATGAGGATGGAGATGAAACATATTGCATTCACTGAGTTATTAGTTTATACTAGCTATTTTAGGTATTTACCCTTAGAGTTTATCTACAGTGTCTCAAAACAAACTTACAGAGAACTGCAAGCAGTACACACATTGTCAGAGTTGAGGCAATCACTGAGAAGTTAACTTACTCTGAGGTACACAAAATATTCAAAATTGTTTTTCAATGTTTCAAAGTCTATGTTTCTTAATGCTTCTTAGAAATACTGCTGGCAGTTTATGAAGAAACTTACATTAGCACCATGATGCATCAAATAATGCCCAATCAGTAGCAATATCTATACATTTAAACCAATACACTGATTATGTATATTCCCCAACCCCAGTATTTATAAAACTAAGGAATTTAACGTGATGCAATGCTGAACAATCCCCTAAACCTTAATTTAACCATTTTAAGATTATTACATAATAGGCTATTCAACAAATGGTGAATCCAAAACGAAACCTGTATTAATTCAAAATACTTAAACAAATGTGAGCCTCTGTTTAAGAAAGTTTCTTCAAACAGTAACAACAAAATATTTTCCAGAGTTCAGATGATCTGGAAATTTCTATACAAAACCACAAGGCACTTTGAAGCCCCAAGGAGAGTTCAGATGAGTGTGTGATATGGAATGTAAGATTGTTAGTAGCATGCAATGTTGATTACGAATTACCTTTCTGTGTCTGGGCCGTTTTTGGCTATAATCATCTTTAATTTTCCTAGTCCTCCCACAGGCGCTCTGTCTGTGCCTGTTGTAAACTGCAAGAAGAGTCTTTTTTGCTCATCTGTAAATGAATGAACGATCTCCCAAAACTCCCTATGGAGAGAAGATATAACATTGATTTTAGTGCAGGAAGTATAACTAGGCACTAATATAAATGTATTTACTGTTTTTCTTAAAATATTAGAAAACAAATTGGAAGTCATTAGGAACTCTAAAGAAATTCCAGTTAACACAAATTTACCTTAAGGAGATAGTTCTAAACACATAAACACTTGGGTGTTCCCAATTTTTTATTCTGGTAGATAATGTAGTGTGAATGTAGGTGCCTTACAATAGCAGGTATTATGCCAATGTGGTCATAAAACACAACATGTGAAAAACTGCAAATGCCTTTGAGTATATTTTTCTCTCCTGCCTATTTATCTTGTCCACTCATCCCTTACTGAATTTTCTAGGGAAAGAGTAATACAGATCAAGAACGTAAGAGAGAATCCAACCATATACACTTAACAGCAGCAATATAAAAGTATAAAATGTCATACTAACTTAATTTTATCAAATTACACATGCTACATGAAGGAAACCCTGTTTTTTTTTCCTGTCATATGCAGACACTTTAAGAGAACGATTTAATCTCTAGCACTCATAAAACCTGTGGAATGAAAGCATTATTCTGTTCACCAAAAAGCAAAACGCAAGCTCATATGTGCAAGCTGGGAGTAAACACACACTAATTCACAGCTAAAAAATTTGAAGTTTTTAGAAAACAAAGTATTTATTTGTAATCATAGATTTATAATATTCATTTGAAAATCTTTCCAGATTCCTGGCAGATAATCATACTTTCCAAATCAGTTTGTATTATTGTAATTTTTGATATCATAGTATTACAGCACTAAATTTTTATTACCAAAATGCTAGACTCCCAGGCTTTCTCCAATCTGTTACCACTTCACAAAAGTTTCTGGCCATCACATCCTCAATTTCTAAAAATTTGCCTACCATTGATCTAGGGTGGGGTACGATTTACCAAGAAACATTTGGATATTTCTAACATTATTCACAGTCCATTTAAAATTATCAACTATAAAATTTGCCTGTTACACATTTCTTTTTTTGTTGGATTTGTGCACTGATTGCCTTGGCGTGGCTAGACCAAATGATTTCCACGGCCCTAAAATTGCTCAGGGGCTCAACAATCCCCATGGCTGCTCTGAGAAAACAATAAATACACAGCAACAGAAAATGGAACCTACAAGAGCACCTCTCCACTAACAAGCAAAGGTGTCACACCTCATTTTACCATTGCTGCTTCTGGGGCCACTGAGAACAAGTTGCTGGAAAAAGAAAAGCTGTTCAGCCCCTGGTAGTTAAAAGCCTCTTTCCACCACAGGAATGCCCCGATGCCCCAGGGAACAAGCTACACCTACGCAGGCAGACAGGTGTGCTTCACTGGTAAGGAAAGACCCCGAAGGGAATGTCGGATCAGTAGTTGTCACAAAGACCAAATTTGGAGGTAATATTAAGATTCTATTTTTAAAAATTAGAACTTAAAGAGATTTCTATCAACTTCATATAGTAAAAAGAACTGCAGGACAATATTCCACTTCTATCATGTTACATGCAATATTACAATCTAGAATTAAATAAGAATGTACCCACTTAGATAAGTGAAGAAGAAAAGAATCATTCCAGGTTTCTACCTAAAAGTGGTGGCCGCATGGATCTCAGCTCACACTTTTAGAAAATTTATTTAGAGCAAATTGGGGAAAAGAGACCACTCATAATCTATAGTAAAATCAGGAAATAAACATCTATGATCAAGAGAGTTCGCACCTGAAGCACACTGCAAAGTCCAGCAGGAGCAATGGAAGAGCTCCAGCTTCAGAGATCAGCACTAAGGTCAATTTAGAGCACAGGCAGAACACTTAAGGGCTGTTGGAGGAACACATGGGCCGGAATTCATACTGTCTGAAGAGGAAGGGGCAGAGGCATCCCTTGAGAGTGGCTTTGGGTTTTGTAGGAAAAGAAATGGCTGATCAAAGAGCCTGAATGGGCATTAATTACGTAAGATCTAGTAACAATAAGTTCAAGAAAAAAATCAACATGCAGAAACATAAATGAGAAAAATAGAAATCTGAAATCCAAATGAAGAGATGAAAAACTATCCTACAGATGAGAAGGCAAAGCTTCTGGTTTGACAAAAAAGTTCACCAGAAAGATCAATATCCAAAAAGTTAGAATTTTCTAATATCACTTTACAACATGGGAACAGGCAATATTAAATAGGAAAGAACACCACCAATCAGAAAAAGAAAATTCTGAGAGCCAAGTCTGAAACACAAGCAAGAATACTCAAAATCACTAAAACAAAAATCAAAATACTTTTGCAAATACATGCTAATTTATGCTCAAAAAATGTGGTTCATAGTTTAGAAACAAAAATCTAGAGAATGAAAATAAACAATACATTTCGAAGTAGAATAATATAAAAGACTTTCAGTTAAATACATAATCTGCTGTAAAGACTTACAGAAAACTTATACCTTCCCTCCCCACCAATCAATCAATAAAGCAAAATGACAAATTGGGAAAAAGCATTTGCAAACTTGTCAAAATTGAAAAACTAGCTTCCCTAAATGTTCCTAAAAGTGATCGCTAAATGATCATCAAGTGAACTGAACAGAATAAGAAGACCTCATAAAAAAAAAAAAGTAAAAATAGCATTGAAATATATTGAAACATGCCCATCTTCACTGATAATGAGGTAAAGTAAAATTCATGACACTGAAATATCACTTCCTGGTTGGTAGATAAAGAGATTCTCTCATATTCTGTTGGTGGGGAAATGCTATATATTTTTAAAACGATTTATTTATTTTTAATTGGAAAGGCAGATATACGGAGAGGAAGAGAGACAGAAAGAAAAATCTTCCATCCGTTGATTCATTCCCCAAGTTGCAATGGCTGGAACTGAGCCAATCTGAAGCCAGGAGCCTAGAGCTTCTCCAGGTCTCCCATAAGGCTTTGGACCATCCTCGACTGCTTTCCCAGGCCACAAGCAGGGAGCTGGATGGGAAGCGGGGCTGCCGGGATTAGAACTGGTACCCTTATGGGATCCAGGCATGTTAGTCATTAGGCTATAGCTTCAGGCCCAGGAGTGCTATTTTGTCAGTGGTAAAGCAAAATGTTTGTATTTATGGAAAATTTGGTATAGTCCAGGAAAATGGCATGCATCTACCATTTGATACAACAATGAAATATGCATTTTAGTATTTCATCACTAACACCACATGTATGATATTCTAGGGGCTTCAGAGGATTCACTGTGACATTACTAAAAAACCCACAGTATCTTTCAACAGTCAAGCTGTGCTGTATCGATATAATGCAACATATATCTCCATGCATTCACACGGTGTGATTTTCTAGGATAGCCTTAGAACAAACTTCCTAGTTCTGGCTCACAACATTCGACAGCAAATCTCAAACTCTGACTTCCAAATGTCAATTACCAGGTCTGCGGTGAAAATGTTCAAGAGTGAACCAACTAATAGGGCCACATGAAAAGCATACCAATGCCAAGCAATCTGAATGTCATTAAGGAGCACTGTTTGTGAAACACACTAATTTTTTTTTAAACCATAAATTTTTCATTTCCCCCAAAGGAATGTAAAACCTATTAAATATCAGTTATCTTACTCTTACTTTAAAATATTTAAATATCATTTACCATGCCTTTTCAGTAGAATTGGTCTTCAAGGTAATCAAATAGCACCAAGTGACAAAGATAAAGAATGGAATGGGTGTAAATGTGGGACAACAGGATGAAAATAACAGACTCAGGTAATTATACTGATAACAACAACAACAAACTCCCGAAAGATAACAATTCTTGGAAGATGACTATGGCATTGATAGTTCATTTGTTTTTGCTCTTCTTTCTGCCATATCTTCCCCCCACAAGAGCAGCAGGTTAATGGGACAACCAAATGCCCACAGGACATTATCCATAATAAAACTGAACAATAAGATTTGAACACTTTTAATATTCAGGGGGGAAATGGAATAAACATAAATTTAACTTATACTGTTCTGAAATCCACATTTTTTCCACAATAACATGTATTCTCCAAACTTTCTAAAAATTCGGATTTCAAAGATTTTTATAGCAAATAAACTTATCTCTCAAGTTCATTATTTATTACCTTTTAAATTCCCTAAGTGGACAGTATTAAGGCAGTGACAGAAGACCTGGTTGCTCTGAGTATCAACAGGTGAAAAAGCAGAAGGAACTGGTCTCAGAACAACAGAATCTGAACACTGCCAACCTGCTGTACAGCACAGACCAATCTGAAGAAAGCTGTTAAAGGGAGTTACACAGGATCCATCCTGCAAGTGAGTGCGGAGGGATCATGAAGTGATAAGAGCTGGGCCCATGAAACTCTTCTGCATCACTACAACCTACCTTTCTAAAGCAAATCAGACAAAGAGAAAATGCTTCCAACTTATTCAAATGAATCAGCTCAAAACTAACAAAGAAGTGAAGGCAAGCAGGCAGACCACTCTCCCTGGGACCTCCCTGCCTGCCTGCCCACCCATTCCTCTGCACCGGTCCCCTATACATGTCACAATGACCACATCTGTAGGCACCTTAGGTAGTAGCTGCAGGTGGGGACTGGTGGCCCCTGCTTTCCTCCTTCTAGTCATTTATCTCATGCACCACTCCCTTCACAATATCTAGTCAGGAGAGCAACCATGGGGGCTCTTGTGCAAGCACAGGGAGGGGCCCTCTATCCCTGCATTCCAGAGATCTTAAAGGCCCCTATGTGAGTGTTTTATTTCCTAAGGGCCTGTTGGAGTAGGAAAACGGGGGAGGCACGCTAAGGGCTTGCCAGTGAGGATAGTAGGAGGGGCTGCTGTGTTCCCAGGAGTCAGCCCTGGGTCCTTCCACAGGCAGGTGGCTGCCTTGGGAGCATGGGGCTTTAGTCATTACAGTGGAAGGTGAAGGAATCTACCTGGTGATTACAAAACAAACTCCGCCTCTTCTCCCTGACCTAAAAGGAGCTGGCTCCAGAAGGCTGGGGTCAAACCAGGAATAAATTAATGTGATGCATTTACTTTTAACAACAAAAAATTGAGTGTGAATATATACATACATAAAACTGGTACAAAAGCCCCTTGGGAGTTCCCAGTGGTGTTTCAAATAGTCCCCCATGTGGTCACCAGAAAACAAGCCATTCTTTGCATCAATATGGGATGAGCCTGGCCTCCGGGGTTAGGAGTGCCTCCTGCTTGTCTTGGTATTCCCCCCGCCTTGTCTTGTGGTAGTGTCCAAGTGTGTCGTACTGTCTATTCCAAATCATGCCTGGTCCTGCCTCGTGGGCCGAGTACTCACTTAGAGCATAATTGTACTAGATCTTTTCGAGAACAGAGTATTAAAGGAGTGATGTGCAATAAATTCATTAATTAATTAATTTTTAAAAAGGCAAGTGATACCAACACCAAGATGAATAAGATGTTGGAATTATCTTATTAGGACTTTAATGCAGTAATCACAAAAATAACTTGACAAGAAATTAATTACTTTCGAATGTTAGCAAAGAAATGGAAATAAAGAGGAAAATGGAAACTACAAAGCTGAAAAATACAGTAAAACAAAAATAATCAGTTCGGCTCTCAGTAGAGTGATTCTGAACAGGAGGAAAAACAGAGGAAAAAAGGAACTGAGCCTCAGGAACAAGTAATGAGAGGCCCTGAAGAGAACAAGACTGGGACCAAAATAGGTTGGAAGGAATGATGGCTACAAGTTCTTCAAATTACACAAACCCACAGTTTAAGCAAACCCCCAACAGCATAAATCATAGTAACTTTTTGGGAATAAAAATGAGGATCAAGTCACCTTCAAACCAATAAAAATTAAAAGAATTTATCAACAGGTCTCCTTTTGAATCAGTTGACTCAGGAAAATGACAAAATATGAAATCCCACAATACAAGATGAAAACATTGAGCCATTCCTGCTGTCATCTCAACACAGCATAGTTGACAATGGATACAATACTGTAAAAGCCACAGTATTCAAAAGAATCTCATTTACATTGGAGCAACAGGCCCAAATGAAAGCAAGGTTTCCACATTTGACTCAAAGCTGTATTATACCAAGGAACAGTGATGAGTCATTTATGGATGAAGGAATACTCACAGCAAATACAGAAGAACTCTACAAAACAAAATACCAAAATTATCTCTCATAATAAGTTGAAAGGAAATCCCTAACAATGCTGAAGTAACCTATGGAAAGAGGAAAAAGGCACAAAATATAATAAACAGAAAAGAGAAATCAAAAAGGAACAGAAACAACCTGAGGCAGAGACTGAGAATGGTTCATTTAAAAAGGGATCCATTTATATCCTATTTTCAAAAAAGTAATTTAAAATTCAGCAACATAGATAGCTTAGGTTAATCTGACAAAACCATACAATTAAAACACAGGAATGGTTATATTCCTATCAAAATGGTTATACTGATATCAGATTCACAGCAAGAAAATTATAAAACAAAGATTACATAATAATAAAAAGATCAGTCCAACCAGAATACCTAATCAATTTCAACAGATATATACCAAATAACAGAGCCTCAAAATGAATGAATGAGAGAGGAGAAAATCTCAAAAACAGACGATTACAGATATAAACAACAGGTTTTTAAGAATTATCAATTTAACATGCAGAAAGAGAATGGGTATCTACTAGTTCACTCTCCAAATACTTGTAATGGCTCGTGCTGAGCTAGAACTCAATGTGGATCTTGCACTGAGTGCCAGGAGCACAGCTGTCAGGAGGAAGCTGAAGTCAGAGCTGGGACATAAGCATGCCAGCCAGTGTTCCAGCCACTGTGCAAACTCAAAACTAGTCTCAAAACTCAGCAGTAAAACAACTGTACTCTTTATTTATCACAAAGGAATCTTTTCTTTGCAGTTAACATCACAGTTAATAATGAAATACTGAATTCTTTTTACAGTGTTTCATTCTTAAAAAAACAAACTGAAGGTCTGTGGCAACTGTTCTGTTCAGTAAACAAGTCTACCAATCCCATCTTCCTTTTCTTTTTTTTTTTTAATAAAGATTTAATTATTTTTCTTGAAAGAATTACAGAGAGGGAAAGATAAGTTCTGTTTTTCTAATGGCATGTATTCCATATCTGATGTCACATTTGGTAAGTTTTGAAGAAAAATTTCTCTTATTCTATTTCTACACTCTGCGAAAACTGACTTGATTTTGCTGTAGTAATTATTTTGGAGCTACAAACCATGCCCATACATACAAGAGCATATTGAACAAATAAATGACCTATGTGTTCTGACTGGATAGGCTATTTTTTCTTTTCCTTGAGCTTATTCCAGAATACAGTAATAAAATCAGGCCAATTAATATTAAAAAAAAAACAGTCTCTAAGAATTCAAATGAGAATCATATATTACCCACTGTATATCAAAAGCTAAAAACTATGATTAGTAAGAAATGTACATAAACAGTCAAGATAAGTCAAAAGCTAGTTGTTTGAATCAAAAAGTCAAGTTGTAACTGAAGAAAAGTTCTTAAAGGAAGAAAAAGTGCTGCTCCAAAGAACCTAATCAAAAGAAAAAAGAAAGAAAACAGAGGAAAAAAAAAAAAAGAAAAACAAGTTTTATTGTTTATCTAGATAGAGAAAGCTGTACGATCTAAATAGGATACACCAGCCTCAGCTTTCATAGCTATAAACCAAGTCAACCTCTGGTTTCAAAGCTCCCAAGTTCTTGCAAACTAATGCAGCAGGAGATCCAGAGGTGGATCGTGACTCCAACCTTTTAATAAATAATAATCCATTAGTATATGACAAACACATTCCTAAATTTATAGATGAGAATTTTTAACTTTGCCTATTCAGGAAGTACTATCTACAGAAAAGATCTAAAGCATAAAGCACACTTCCCTTTGGAAAATCAAATTTTGTTTTTAAGAATTAAACACCTCACCTAATCAGGACAGAGTCCCTGGTATAGCCACCATCATATTCTGTAGTTTCTTCTAGTGCCTGGAAATCTAGATTCTGCAAATTCAAGAAAATAAGTCATAACATCATCTAAACTACAACATTACAAAAAAAAATCAATCAATCAACCAACATATGAATTTTTTTTTGCAGATATCTGCTTTCTTACCCGGCTCCCACATATAAGCAATTCAATTTCTTCTGGTCTGAATAAGTACTTTAAGGGAGATTCATTGGTCACCATATGAAAACCTCTGCGAAAAGCCTTGAATTGTTTCTCTACAGACTTATTGAGAATGTAGTCAGAATAGAGATTAACAAATTCCTGCAGAAAACAACCACAAGAATATTACAGAATATGGTAGACAGAAAAAACACAAGTCATTGCCATTAGTCTGTATAAAAACAAAGCTAGCCTTATTTTTCCAAGAAAATAAATCAATACTTTTAAAAATCCTAATTTTATACAGGCATAGGGAAATAGTATTTCACAGCTCTCTGACAATCAAAAATAAGCTGTAAAAAGGCAATCTAAATACAATGGTTTATAGATGTAAATTTCAAAAGCGTACTCCATAGGACATCTGAATACAAAAGTTGAAGTTTTGATACAACTTTATAACTTTCCTCAACTCAGTTATGCAAACAGATACAGATTTAAACCATGTCTACATCTACTTATAAAAGCCAACTACATTAACAGAATGCAAAGTACTTGATTGGAGTACACCAAAAAATTTCATGATTTCCATTACAAAATATTTAGTGAACCGTCTAGTGTATCCAAAGCAAAAACACTGGTATCTTACTTGATATATTGGTTTTTATACAGAATTAAAACATGAAAATGCACTTAGTGTCCTAAAAGAATATAAACACAAGATTCTTTCATAAATACAATAGATATTTAAGGTCACTTAAATAAAATAAATATGCACGTCAGAAGTATATTTACATAAAAATACACACATAATAATGTAATGACCATTATTTCTATGAAATGAACTCAACTCCCATAATATGAGAAAAACGCTGTTCCCTTCTTGCTTTATACTACAGCTAAACTTACCTATTCCCTCTCTCCAAATGTGTTCGTTCTCTGAAATGCATTTGGCACTCAACTGTGTGTTTTCATACCACTGTTACCATTAATGTGGATTTGATAAAGATGCCTTGGTTCTTGTTTTGAATCATATTAAAACTTCATCAAAAGCCAAAATGATACATGCTTTAAAATTGTTAACGAAGAGACAAAGCAATGATGATGATATAAATAATTTATTACCTTCCTGTTTTCATTTGTAATTGGAATTTTGTCACCGTTTTCCTTTAGATCATACATCATTGGGTTGCCAAAAAGATCTGTCTGTGATATCTGGAAAGTGATCATCATATCATCTTCCACATTTCCTTCATATTCCAACAAATCTTTTAAACTCTGATATAAAACCTAACAATCAGAAACAGAACATTGAGGATATGAATAAGTGTACAAAACAATAAATGGTTTGCATTATTCTTTCAAAAATGATCTCTTTCAATAAGAATTAAGACATAAATATCCTCCCTTTCTCTTCAGTTTGCAACCTAGAAAGAATGACTGTAATCCATTGCTGCCCCAAACTCTACTGAGTATCACCTTAGCAATGGATTTCACACTGTGCTCTGGAAGAGTCCCGACAGTGTCTCAAGGTGGCAGGGCACAGAGAAGGACACACTAACTGTAGCCACCCAGTTGCTTAGCCAGGACAACCATCATGTACGTGGCAACTTAAGAAAGTTACAAAAAACTTACATAAAAATCTACCCATTTATACTTATAAATATTCATAATATATCAATCACATTAAAAATAACTTTATAAGGTATAAATATAAGCAAAAACAAAACAAAAATCTAACAGACACAATAAAAAATGGCAAAGAACTTACTGGATGAGAGTCTCCCAAGTCACGGAAAGTTCCTTTTTTCCCCATTAGCTTCCTGTACACAACCATGGGAAAATGTACATCCAGTATACAGTTATTGTAAATAGCCAGGCCCAATACTATGCCAATCAGAGTAAACTGACCCTCAGTTTCAAAAGAAGATGGGTTAAACCAAAACAGTTTTGTAGATTCATCATATGTGAACATACCTACAAAAAATAATTTTGGAAAAACATAAATTTTATTATACTAACACAATCATTATGGGAAACTTGAAATTATGCATGTAAAATTTACAAATAATATGTATGTATACATCAGCACTTGCAGAGCTAGTATGTGTCAAATGGCAAGAACCCAAAGAAAAAAGGTAATTAGCAATTTTTATGGCACTTCTAGAAATTAGAAAACGTGTTTACTAAACTCAAGTTTTCTAATTCTCTAACATATACATTAACCCACAATCATACATTATCCAATCAATGGCTGAAAAATACATGCAAAGTCAGAAGAGGAAAAAAATTCATTCATGAAGACACAGCTTTTTTTTAAAAAAAAACAAAAACAAAAAACTGAGTTTTTTTTCCCCCCAAACTGGATAATGGCCCACAAAATCTTTCTGATAGCTTTATTTTGAAATGTTCACTGATCCCAAAGTCATAATTAGATAAGCCTGATAGTTAAAGAAATCTACTTAATATACTATTAACTGGGAGTCAGCAAAACGTAAGTTTTGTAGTCTTTCAGTTCCACCTGGTTTGTACTATTTATAGCACAAATACAATTTTTGGTTTGGCTGTGTGAGTTTGACTAAAATTGAATTATAGTCTTTCCTTTTAAATATATGGTTCATTTGACTGAATTTAGAATGCTTTCAGTTTACAAAGTTTATTTTTTCAGTTATTACTACAAAATAGAATATTTAAAATTAAATTTGAAAAATCCAAAATCAAGAAAAATGTAAATATTAATAAAAATATGTATTTTAAAACCAATTTGTAAGAATTCTGAAACATTTTAAATTTCCGTTCGTTTTTACTTTTAGACTGTGAGTTTCCCTCTCTTTTTTTGAGGCTGCATTAGTCTCTATGTAGTCAGAACATCATTGAATTGTAGACACCGAATTAACCAGGCGAGAAACAGCTGATACACAATCAAAACAGAAACAATAGATATTAATGTCATTATTTCAGGAATATACCTTTTTAAAATTTTTATTTTCCATGACATAGTTACCCTTAGAAAATAAATTACATAAGTAAACTATTCTCATCTCCAAATAAGAAAGATTACAAGTTTGAAGTCAAAGATGATTTCATACGAGGTACATTATAAGTGACTATAAGAAAAACACCCTAAAAGTTTCAAACATTTTTGATATACCTGCTGCCAATACTTAAGTGAGTAATAAAATCAGTTTCCATAATCTGCAATTTAATGATTTTAGTTCTTACCCACAGGTAACCTAAGACATCTTCCCTTTTGTTGCTCTTCACAGCACAAATATTTATATACCAACGTGAACAAATTCTCAGTTAGAAAGGAAGTAACATCACAATCAGCTAAAATACTTACCAATATCGGGATTGAAAATTTCCTCCACAACCAATTGAAAAAACTCTTTGGAGACACCTCCCTCATCCACTCCTTGTTCCCCTTCAAATTCCACATACAACTGTTTCTTCAAGTCTGCAGGGTTTTCCATAGCGATCATCTCTAGCTAATGATTGGAAAGTGTAAAAAAAAAAGATGACTTTCAATATGATGATAAAATTTAAAAAAACACAGAAGCAACAGAACAACAATGAGAAGGACTAAGGCAGCAGATAAAAGATATTTATACTTTCACAAGGAAGTAAGACACCAAACGATTAAAAAGTGAGGACAAAGATTCAGTCTCACACAAAATGGAAACGTAGGAGAAGGAAAAAAGGATACAATCTGTTATAAAATTAATACAGTGCAGAAAATTAGGATGAGAGTATCTTACTTATGTGTCCAAAATCTGAGTGTTAGACATGGAAAAGACAGCCAAACGTCCACATGATTTTCTAAGACAAAATCGCCACCAAAACATATCAAGTACAGGAGTTTTACTTTGAAATTATCCACCAGCAGTCTTGTTTATTAGAATACAGACTCTGGTCATAATAAAGTTATGAAAGATACACTGAGCAGATGTTTGGACCTACTATTCAAACACCAACTAGGGTGCTTACATATTCCAAGCCTCAATTAGGGTACTTACAAAAGGTGCCCAAATTCAAGATCTGTGCTAATTCAAGATTTCTGCTAATGTGCACCTCACTACCTCTGGGTTTGGCCCAGCAATGGCTGCTGCAGGCATTTGGGAAATTAAACAGCACAAGACCTCTCTCTGCCTCTCAGTAAGTTTTTATTTTGAAAATAAATGGAATAGAAAAGCAGCTTATTACCACTCAAAATATGACTTAGCTTAAAAGAGTATAATGCATTTTATACCCATATTTTCTTTTTTAATCATATTTGATAAGAGGTTTTAATTGGTTACAAAACCCCACATACAAAATTAGAAGCATTTAGATGCACTTTTGAAAGAACATTTTTTTTTTTTTTGCTGAGCTAAAAAATGCAATTTTTCAAGCAAACAATGTCTTGAAAATTTAAAAGAGCAGCAACACACTTAGTTTCCTTTGCCTGTGAAATGGTGCAATTCACAACAGGTAAGGTCACAATAAACCAAATCAAGCAAATGCACATGTATGTCTGCTCCACTCGGTGCTAATGTCCACTACTAACCATTACTACAGTAGGCCCAATTTTAATCTCAATGTGTACAACTTATATTTTCTTAAAAGCTGGTAAGACATACCCTCGTTCATGTTTTTCCCATCTAATTTACCCAATCTGAATATCTAGTATTCTTTCAACTGCAAACCTTAGGCCAAGAACTATTTTGTAGCTACAGAAAAACGAATAATGTGACTAATCCTAGTCATGAGAATAATCATAAAACAAGCACTAAATTGGAATGTGAAATGTTCCTGGTACAATTTGTTTACTGATATGCCTAACTATCCGTGTACAAAAGTGCCTCCAAATGATAGCTGTTTGAAAAAAAGTTACTCCTCAGGATCAGTATTTCCAAAATCAGAGCATTAACGGATATAGAATAAACAGAACTTTAAGAGTGTTTTTGACCAATGAAGTATTACCAGAGTATTTTATACAGGCCTGCAGTGTGATCAGTTCCTTAGGAAACAGTATTCATTTGCACATTATGGTGTCTAGAATTCATCTTAAGGCTTACAACCAACAGGGAAAAAAAAAAATCAGAATGTATTCCACATAGTAAAGGTGTTTTGTTAAACTCTGGTTTCAATTAGATGTAAAGAATCACCATTCTTTACATGGTGTGGCGTGTTGGAATGCTATGTAAAATACTTCTTCCTAACAGGGTAAAGTTAAAAAAAAAAAGATTGAAAAAGTAAGTAAAATTATAACCTGCATAGGACCGACTATGTGGTTCTAAGATTTTTGCGATTTAGCCATTTTTTTTAATGGGTTAAAAGAACGTCTGCTCTTGTTCAATAGTTGTCTCCAGAATCTATAAAATGGCTTTTAGGCCAGTGTTTTTAAGAGAATTCCTGAGCCATTATCACCATTTCCCATTGTCACTTAACCTGTCAGCTTGGTTAAATAATTTAATTAAGGTGTTTCTTTATCCACCAAAAATGTAAATAAAAGGAGTAATAGTCTTACCACTACAGAATCATGAATGCTTAATAAAAGTATGAGAAGTAGTTCAACAGAACCAACACTGTTATTATACTGCATTGTTAACTTTCAAAGCGACTTAGCTCTTTGAATTAAAGCTCCACAATTTTGTGTCCTCAAAGGAATCCAACAAACTAGTTAGTTCTAAAACTTTAGAGTCAATCCAATGTATGTTTGAAATTAACCTTAGGGACAAATGTCCTACATTCCAGTCTTAGCTCTACCTAAGGCATGTCATAAGAAAACTGAGACAAATTTATTGTTAACTCTTAAAAATTTATTACATATCTGTCCACTTCTACCAATCTCTACTCTATGCTCCTCACCTTGATTGCCAAAAGAATTTAATGCATTATGTTCTATAATGGTAACTGTAAACATATAACTTTAACTCTTTAAGATGCATCTGTAAATAAACATAATAAATTAATCAATACATGTTAGGTGCTTAGCTAAATTCCCCACACAAAGTAAGTGTAAGTTTGTTGTTGCTATTATTTTGTTACTGGTTCTAAAATTTTTTCTGGGCTTGTGAAAACCTAAAAACCATGACATTACACAATAAAAATATCCCAGCAGTAACAGTAACAATATCATGTAGAACTTCACACACAGCAACAACCATATAAGGCAGACAACATTATCAATCCCATTATACTGACGGCAACTTTGAGGTAATGAAAGGTTAAATAACTTGCTCAAGTCACAATGAATGAGAAAGCAGAAATCGTAAATGAAGCAAGTTTCCTATTGCTGCTTACTGCCCTTCACAGTGATTAGCAATCATTAGACTTGAGTGTAACTTATTTTCTTCTTTTCAATTTTTTACATTAACATATTGCTTTTAATAAAATCAAAGATACATTTGTTTTTATTTGAAAGGCAGAATTACAGAGAGAATGAGAAACAGAGATCTTCCATCCACTCCTCTAACTGGCCACAATGTCCAAGGCTGAGCCAGGAGATTCCTTCAAAGGTACTCCACAAGGCTGTAGATGCCCAAGAACTTGAGCCATCTTCTGCTACTTTCCCACGTCATAAGCAGGGAGCAGGAGGGAGTGGAGCAGATGGGACATGAACCACATCCATATGGGATGCCAGCATGAAGAAAGAGGAGTAACCTGAAATGCCACCCCACTGTCGGGATCCCAATATGATATCAATTTTAGAATCAAGATTTTAATTACAATTGCATATAAAAAATGATTTGAAGAGCAGTTGGCAGTGGAATTCCACAGGCAAAAATTTCCAAATGCTCTCTGTATTGTACTGCTATGCGCAAATGTGCATGGGGATTTAGAAAAAAATACTCCATCTTTTAATAATATATCAGTAACCAGTCTTTAAAAAAAATTAATAACAATTTTGACAGGTTATTATAATGGAAGGGGTTGCACTTCCTGAGAAGAATGCTGCAAAGGCTAAACCATAAAAGTGTACTACTATTTTGTATAATAGATATCACTTAAAATTGAGTTTTTAAAATCAAGATATTTCCTTTTTTGTGAACAATAACTGTACATGCAAGCTATGTATATAAAATTAGTATTAATCAAAGTATGGGAACCTACATTTTCCCTCCTTTAATATTGCTGATTGGAGGCTCACAGCTTCCTTTGCCCACATAGCATATCTTAGGTTACTGTGAAATAAATGTAGTCTGGTCAATGTTATACTTACAAGAGTCAAAGGTAAAATCCTTGCCACTAAGAACTCTCTCATGTCTTGTGTTATTACATCAAAACTATCCTCTATAGTTCAAGCAAAATAACTTAGTGATACTGATATTTCAGTAGAAGTTGCACTCCAATAAAATATTTTAAAATCTTCTAGGATGTCTAAGAAAGTTAGCTTAAACTACTCAATGTTACTCTCTGCAAAACTCCTTGCTGGTGGCTAGTTTTAAACTATTACAACAGGGCTTTAGAACAGATCACATAATCACATCTGTTTGTAAAGGGATTTTATTTCCAATTCTACCACTAACTTCTACTTTAATCTCCCTCACAAGTAATTCTAATGACACTGAGAATCTGCAGATCTGCTTCATTTTCCCACTGACCCCCAAGAAACTACAAACATAAAGTTATTCATTTCAGTTAGCATAATGCATAAGCAATAACAATGGCAATTGCATTAATTATAAAATAATGAACATACAAGCTATGTTTAGCCAAACCATTAAAGAGCAATCTTATTCTTAAAGTACATGGGTCAACTGACAAAAACAAACAAACAAAAAAAACATCAAGTTTGTGTTTCAATAAGTAAGAGTGTTTGCCAATGAAAATGTTAGAGGCCATATCAGAAAGTGTACTCAGCACCCAGATAAAATAGGCCAGTGACTATCCAGAAGGAACTGGGCATACTTTCTTGATACAGGCTTGTCATCTGTGACAACCACCTCTATCTGCACTGGCTCCTTTTAGATGTTCAGGTCCAATTCTACATCTACTCATTGCTCATGGTTCTTAGGTATTAACTCTGCTGTCCTCGTGATCCTCTTTAAGACGTAGCAGTTCCCAAACATTTATCTGCATACATAAAGGATCTCAATATTTGTCTGTGTTCATGTGCATTACTGAACCACAGCCATCTTCCCAAATACTGGCTTTACTAGAACATGTGGAAAGTCCTACACAAGCTATGGACTCCAAAACAAACCTCTGACTCGGAAGCTCTAGAAGGCATGTACTTAGTTGTTTTCTATTTACTTAACAATTTTTCCCACTTAGATGTGAAGGTAGTGGAAGGTAGTTCATAAAACAGCAACACTGTCTCCTGACATGAAGCTCATAACCTCAATTTCCTACTAATTTTAAAAGTAAATTTTTACATTTTATTTTCATACTGTTCTTGCAAATATTTTGTTCAAGAAAAATGAGAGATTATCTCTATTTAAACCTCACTGCACTAGGATTCTTTTTCTTCAAATGGAAGCCAAGCTCTGAGCTCTTGACCAATACTATGCCACTTATGCGGTAACCATAGTGAAATGTAAGAAAATAAATCGCAGCAGAAATATTCAAGCAACTTAAGCATGATTATGGGAGGCATGTTTCTTAAGCAATTCTGATACTTAACTGTGGAGCCAAGTTATCAATTCCATTAACTCTAAAATCCATTTTTGTTTTTTTCACATTTTCTCACCTCTGAAATAAGCATTTTCAACTAACAGTATCTCATAATTACTCAGTGGGATTATTTTTCCTTAGTAGTAATAAAGCAACAGTGTGTCCTACAATCAATGGTATGTAGTTTCAATAAACATAACCACTAATTTGTCCAATACAATCTAAAAACTCAAATGAGCAAAAAAAAAAGTCTTCTCTAAATACCCTACTATGTAGTTCCAAATTATTTTTGGTCAAACTGTGATATCTAAAAAAGAAAATGAAGCTTTAGTAACTAAGTGGGGCCTTGAGGAATAAAATGTTGAAAAACAGCACTCTTTAGAGTTCACTTGAGGGAAGGATCTGAGATCACTTTTCACAGTAACCGTATGTTGCTGAACTAATGTGATAACCATAACTGTCAACTGCTCTTAGTATTTCAATTATATCTAGGCAAGTAATCAACTAACTTTCAAGATCTATTTAGATGTCTTTTGTCTCAACTTTTCAAACTTTTTCCTTAACCTAAAGGAACAGATGAAATTAAGGATAAAATCTGTATAATGTTAATATTTACTGCCTAAATATCTAGGAATAGTTAAGAAACTCCTCAGTAAGCACCAACTCATTGCATTGCCATTGGTTAAGAAAACACCTAACACACTAAATCACAGTAATGAACTGCAAGTACAGACATTATCCAGGGAATTCCGATTTTAAAATAGCATCCAATTTTGACATAACTATATATAACTCACCAAAAATTTTGCTGGCATAATTAAAAAGTTCATTGTTAATTTTACTCTAACAATTGCTTAGAAGGTGACTAAAACCTGAATTGGTTGTTTCTTTACAACCCCAGAATAAAAATTTGAAACAGATAAAAGTATCTAAACTTTTACTGATCCTCAGTCTTGTGAATCTAGGGGTAAAAATGGGGGCAAGAAGCAAAGTAAGTCTGGGGAGAGAAATCAGAGAGGGCAGGTAAGAAAGTGGACAGATGTTCTACACCCTGGAATAAATCTTATAGAGAGCACTTAATTTTAGGCTAAGCACGGATTTCTGCAGAACACAGGGGAAGTATTCAACTCAAAGCCAAACAGAATGAGGTTTGGAATTCATAATTCTATTCTAGCAGAGGATGTTTACAGACAGAACTCAAAGTGCTTTTCCTAAAACTTCACTTGCAAAGAAAATGTTATTTGTTTAATTCACTTATTTGTGGGGAGGGGAAAAAGACAAGGGGGTGGGGCAGGGGAAGAGGTATATGAGAATTTTGCATCCACTGGCTCACATCTCAAATAGCTACAAATATTCCAGTGGTGGCCAGGATGAAGCTAGTAACTCCACTCTGGTCTTCACAGGGGTAGCAGGGACCCAATTGGGCTGTCTTCAACTTTCTTTCCAGGCACATTAACATAAAGCTGGATTGGAAGCAGACTCGCCAGGATTCAATCAGCACTCTGCTATGATGCCCCAAGTAGCACGCAGTGACTTAATGTGCTGCAACACCAGCCCCTTCGCTTACATTCTTACAAAATACATTACCCTTCTGCTAAACTGTAAAATAAGCCGTAATTGGTCCATTGGTTTGCCCTTATGCTAATTAATTATTCATGGAGCTTCCAACTACAGAAGTAAAACAAAAGCTAACCAGAAGCAAGGATTGTTATTTCACACAGTTAAACGCTTAATACTCTCACCACTCAAAATCTGAGTGTTTAAGTAATGCCGAATCTTTATTCAACACTATAAACACATTTCCCATTTTTAAGGAGGCAAAAAATTCCAGTAACAGCAATTTCTGAGATATAAGTTTTTTCCATTGGATTACAGATTCACAAATTCTCAGATTAAGAAAAACTCATTCTAAAACTTAAATACACTTTAAAATTTCTTACTGGTTGTCACATTATTTTTGCTCTTAACGTACGTAGAGACTTGATCTATATTTTTAATGCAATTAAAATTTAATTGAAGTTAATGAGAAGAACTAACAATGACATGGATACATACACTACAATTACAATAAAAATCTAAGCACATTTTGACAAATGCAAATTTTGGCAAAATATGACTGGCAACCAGTTTTTCTCCTAGCAAGTTCTACACCTTTACCTAAAGGCACTAAAATTCATATCTTCCATGGAAGAAATTAAAGAACAAGAGCCATTCTCACTGGAAAAAACAGAGTAGCAAGGTACCGGAGTTTACAATACTTTCCTAGCTCAATCTACCTGGATTTTATTGGTGACACTAGAAGAGGTGCTATTTTCCCACAGAGGTTCCAACACCCGTGGTTGTCCCTAAGGATATTTTAGTGAGTAGAACACTGAAAACAGGCAATTCCATTTAAGGACTTTAGTGCCCTACTGACCCTCCAGACTTTTACTGACAACAGGTATCTACCTGGCACATGATCATTCATGAATAAATAAAGCTCAAAATACTGCAACTGTATATTTATAGGACAAGTTTTTGAACAGAATTTACAACGCGATGGAGAACTTAGGTACATAGTCGTATCCATACTTACTGTGTTTCCACATTTCCCTTGTAACTGTGTTATCCAACACTCTTGAATGAATAAACTTTTGGAGTTAATGGTCAAGATTCAGAAAACTCATTGCTTTTCAAAAAGCGGAGGAAATCATTGTATAAGACAAGCAATGCATAGAACATATCCATACTCTTGCAAAGCAGCAAAAGTAAAACTTAAATGATCAGAAATGCCCTTGCGTGATATATGACATTTTTATTTTAAAAGTCATGTATAAAATGAACTCACTAAATATTCACAATATTCTTATCACTGGGTTTTTTAATTAGTACTGATTTTGAACAGTTAGTCCAACTTACCCGGACAAGTGCATCATCTATGATATGGTCACGTCTGACTTTGAGTCTCAAATATGGATTCAACTGCTGTCCTTGAACTAAGCTGTAGAGAACAGTAATTCTTCGTTCACTGTACATGCGAATTCTATTGTCATAATATAATCCCAAATTCTTTGTGACAGCATTCAATATAAAAGGACATGTCATAAAAGAGAATTTGTTCTCCGTTTCTACTTTGAAAAAAGTATAATCCTTATCCATTTCTAGAACATCATTCAGTGGTTCATTAATAAACTCTTCAAAAGGAATAAGTGGCTTTCGACAATCCAGAGTTTTAACACCAAGCTCAGTCTCCAGTGGGTCCACTCGAGGACCTTTCTTGTTTCTTCTCTCCTCTCCCAAAAGTTCCTGAAGTGTCAACTCACTAGACTCAGGGATAGGCTCTTCATCATCTTCTTCATTGTGATTTGTGTCCACATCTCCTCCAACTACATTTGCATAGTAAACCATTTTCAAGCACTTGGAAGCAGCAACAATGGCATCATCATCGTTCACCAGATTTCGACTGTTAAATTCATTGCTTATGACTTTGTAAGTAATAAGTTGTTGAAATGTTTCCATCATTCTCCGAATCTGGTCTGCACTGTATTTAGACCAAAGTCTAATCAGCTTTCCTTGGGCTGCAAGGGGTAGCTTGCTCATTGCTTTGCAAAATAATGGCAAAGCCATTTCCAGATATTCAGGACTGTGGAGATTTCTATTCTCCATTACAATAATAAACAAATTCAGATAATTAGGATCTCGGGAGTATACATTGTGATATGTCAAATCACATTCTACGTTAGGTGACAAATATACAAGTGCATTGAGAAAGGCAGTTTCTATTTTTTCATTAGAGAGCAATCTGGTATACACCCTTCTAATAGCATCAATATCCACAGACACATCCTCGGGGCCTAACTTTTGTATATTATTGTCTCCCTGTGAACTCTCACTGATCCTTGATGATGATGCCTCTGAATCTTCTTCCATAGCAGCAGCAGCAGCAACAGCAGCAGAACACGCAGCTTTTTCCTTTTCATCTTCATCCTTATCTTCATCTTTTCCTTGAAGAGATTTCAGTTCTTCCTTTGTGTGTTGTTTGACTTTACGAAAACTCTGGACCAATGCCTCAGCATTTGAAAAAACTCTTCCAATGACACGGATTAAAGGTGAATAATCCTCTCTCTCTCTACATAACTCAAGAATTTCATATACCAGGTCTTCAGTCAAGTAAGTCACATCTACAAAACAGAAGGGAACAAAGCAACTTATTTTCATATTACATCTGTTTACTCTGTCAGTGTCAGTTGTGGCAAAAACTCAAATATTTTAAACTCAAGCAGAATTCTAGCAAAAATATATGTTTACCCTTTTTTTCCCCAAACACTAACAATATCAACAACCTATTTTTTAAAAATTATTTCAACAATATGTAACTTTAAAAAAAAACGGAATTTATTTTTATTGGAAAGACAGAGTTTACAGAGAGGAGGACAGAGAAAAACTTCTCTTCTTCTGCTTCATTGCCCAAAAGGTCACAACAGCCAGAGATGAGCCAATCCAAAGTTAGAAACAACTAGTGGGTCAGCCACATATACTGGAAGCCCAGTGCTGCTTTCCCGGGCCACCAGCAGGGAGCTGGGTCAGAAGTGAAGCAGCCAGGACACAAACTGGTACCCAAGGGGGATGCCAAGCATTTGAAGGTGGAGGATTAGCCAGTTGAGCCATCCTGCCAGACTCAGACAATACGTGACTTTAACAGCCCCAAATAGTTCAAATTTTCTTCACAATCGAGATCTGTCAAAATGTAGTCATATAATACAAAAATGCATGTGTTCACTAACCATAATGCCTTTTACCCACCCATAAAGCAGGTACACTACTAGTCTCCTGAGAATTCTGACTTTTTCACTTTTGCTCTACTTAAAACACTACAAATGCAAGTTTTAGAAAAAAAAAAAAAAAAGACTTTCTTCAGCATATTCCTAGAAACTTTTGTCCTTTTCTATGTTCTGGTCATGTTGTATCTGAGTGGCAGGTTTGAGACTGGACTTGGCTCCCAATCCAGCTCCATACCAGAGTCCACTGTGGGAGACAGCAGGGTAGATGGCTTAGACTTCTGTGCCACCCATGCCAAAGCCCTACATTGCGTTTTCGAATCCCAGTTCTTTCTTCTGTGTCCATTTCAAGTATTTGAAAGTGAACAAGAGAATAAGACCATCTGTATTCAAATTCATTTTCTTTCGTTCTCTTTCAAACAAATAATAATAATAATAATAATAATAATAATAATGAAATGGTTCTTCTTGGGTTTTCCAAGTTCATCCCCGGGAGGCTATTTTGTAGATAAAAAGAATGTATAATTTTTCATAATCTCTGAAGTTGAAATTGTTTTCATAATCTCTGAAGATAGAAATAAGGATAGAAAAAAATCAGCGCAGTAAATCATAGTCTATGAGCAAATAAAAACAAACTGGGAAGAAGGTAACTTATGAGCAAACAGGTAAGAGGGCCTAGTTGTCACCAAAGTTGGTTTCCTCTTCTTTCTGGGCACAGAGCTGCAGCATATTTCCTAATTTCTCCAACTTTTTGAAGCCAAAGCTTTCCCATTTCTGGTTAATAAAGCAAAAGTATTTCATGTTGGAAGAAAAAAAAAATGAATGAAATACTTTGTTTACTACATATCTAGACTGGGGAGGGCAACGAGATCCCACCTGGTTAAGCCTCTGCCTGGGCTGTCCACACCCTATACGGAGTTCCTGGGACCTCACCTATTTTCAACCCAGCTTCTTGCTAAAACACCTAGAACACAGCACCAGTTAATGGCCTAATTATCTGGGCTCCTATCCCCCATGTGGCAGACCCAGACGAGTCTCTAGGCTCCTGTCTTCAGCCTGGCATAGCTTTGACCATTCAGGCATTAAAGAGTAAACCAGTGAAACAAATATCACTTTTCCATTGCCTCACTCTCTGTCACTCTGCTTTTCAAACAAAAGTCAAAAAATAAAACAACAAAAACCCTTTATTACCCTGTTAATACTCATTACTTTCACTGTGATTACTTTCACTGTGAGGGGGAGATTGGAGTTTAGGATAAGGGGGCAGCTTTAAACATTTTGCAATCCATACAAGGGTCTTTTTATAATGTATATTTTCTGTGAACTTTCTAAAGACTATTTTATTTCTCTTAACACCGTAAATTGATTTCGCTCCACTGTGATATCTTAATGTCACCCAATAAGCTGCAAAACAGAGCTCATACATTTAAATCTCAACATCCTTTTCAGTCAATAATTCTAAATTAAAAATTAAGCATCTTACCTTTAAAATCAATCCGAGGTCCTTTTCCTTCCTTCTTGTTCATCTTTATCTCAGAGTTGTTCGGGGCACCTTTCGAGTTCTCCAGGTAAGCCGAGCTTGCTCCTTTCTTGGAGGGATGAGGATCACAGAGTTTTGCATTAATCTTATAAAGCTCGAGGGCTTTAATAGCTGCTGCATTGTTATCCATACGATGAAACGTTGGACAGGAAGCACAAAACTCATTCGTGCAGGCCTCATTTCCACAGCCCTCAGTTAACTGATGGTAGTAGCGTTCTATTAGATGCTTTGCAGCTGCTCGCTTCCTGTACCAACATTTAAACAGTAAGCATAATCGTTAGTATGGCTCTCAGGCACAAAGCTCAATATATCAAGTAAAAAGTTAGTAAAACATATAAATGTGCATATCACCTAAAAACTAAAAACATAAAGGTAAGGGCCTATTAAAAGCATCAATCTAGTTTTTAATCTAACCACAATTTTTTCAGTGATTCATGAATATGATTATTTAAAACAGAGCTTTTATCCACATAAAAAAATTTCCCAATCAGTAACCCTACAGGAAGTGTCAAAGCAGTTCTACAAATGCAATGTTTAGTCTAGAGTTGGTGCTTTCTTGAGAAAGTAAAACACAGGATCATAAACCCAAAAATGTCACTAAACCTCATTAATTTCTTCTTGTAGGAAGAAATATTTTAAATTCCCTTTGAGCAAAATCTAATACTACTTTTACTTTGTGAATCTGAGGCATATACATATATCAAGGTTCCATTCCCCTTCCCACCCCACAAAATCTACTGGGAATACTAGTGAGGGGATTATTTCATCAAATTATTCAAATCAAATTCTATTAACTGATGATATCACCACACTTTAAGCAGTCTACTAAATCTAGAAAAACAATTCATAGCTTTTCTGCTTGGGTCAAAATTCACAAACACTGGAATAAAAACTGCTAAGAATTAAATTTGTAAAACAAACAAAAAAATTCACCTAATTCTCTGAATGTTTCTTCAATTATCTTACTAACATGTAAAATAATAAATGGTCAATACCACAAGAGCTTACTTCTTCTTAATCATAAACTAAGCAAGATGGTAAAGGAGTAGATAAAGGATCAAAATAAGTCTAGTTTTACCTCAAAAGTAGGAATCCAACTAAACCACCAGGGTAGACAACAAAGAGTGATCATTTAAACACATTCAAGCCATTCTGGTGCTTCTAGTTTGAAATATTCCATGCAAATGTACCACTCATGCATGCAAATAGAAGGGAAAGAAAACACAAAGCACACATAAAAACTGCATCAACAGGACCTAAGAGGCAGTACTGTATGCAGCTATAAAGAATCCCACCTTTGCAAGTGTTAAGAATTATTATTCCAGATAGATAGAAGTGAAATGCAGGATCTAAAACATTTAAAATATATATTGCTATACTGCTATCTAGGAAATAATGGGGAAGATATTTCCCTAATCAAACATAAAATGAGTACTTCTTCTCTGGAAGTAAATGATGAACATACACCAAAAATCATAAAAATGAAAGCCAGAGTTGTGCCATGACAGGTTAATCAATACCTGCATCTCTTGCATCCCCCATGAATGCCATTTTGAGCCCCACCCACCCCACTTCCAACCTTACTCCTAGCTAACACATCTGGAAAAGCAGTAGAAGGAAGATGGCCCAAATCCTTTGGCCCAGGCACCCATGTGGGAGACCCAGATCAGACCTCTGGCTTGGGCCTACTGTAGCCTTGAATACTGTGGCTATCTGGGAAATCAATCAGTGGGAAGGAAGATTGGTGATTTCTCCCCACAGCTTCATCCCTTCCTACTCCATTTCTGTAACTCTGCCTTTAATAAATAAATCTTCAAAATAGTCAGAAATATACATATCACCTTAATCATTGAACAATAAGAAATAATAAGATCTACATTTGGCAAACAAAAGTCTTCCTGACATATCGCTGACAAAAGTCACAAAGTAGAAGGTTTTTACTTCAAAGCTGTGATTTTTAAAAACCCTTTTTAGTATTTTTCTATGATTTGCACATTAGTACTGTACCAAAGATTAACATAAACAAGGGGAAAGGGCCGTGGCCCAGAAGACATAGAGGCCATTGAGTCCTGGAAGTGATTTCCAGCCCAACCCCAAGCTTATGGCTTGGGAAAGCAGCAGAGGAGTCCAAAACTTGGGAACCTGCACCCACTTGATAGACCCAGGAGGAAAAAAATTACTGGCTCCTTTCAGATAGCTCAGTTCCAGTGGTTATGGCCATTTGGGGAGTGAACCAGTGGTTGGAAGACTTCTCTGTCTCTCCTTCTCTCTCTGTAAAACCTGCTTTTCTCATAAAAACATTTTGAAAAATGAAATTAAATGGTAACAGACTCCATATAAGAATAATAATGGTTTGGAAAAACACATGTGCTGTTTAGAATACTGCCTGTTACATACTAAGCACTATGCCAAGTGCTAACTGCTATTATTGTTGCGTCATCCTCACAAATTGGCAATATTAACTCTCATTTGGGCGATGCTCAGAGGAAATAGCATACCTACTAACAGATCTGGATCCAGCTTTTAATTCTATCACAGAGATTTAAGAATAGCTCCTCGAACTAGTATGCTTCTATCCCCAGTTTACAAACAGCATCCGCACCGACGATGACAAGGCATGCACAAATGTTCATGTTCTTCTTAAAAACAACCTTATTATCCCAGTAACATTATGAATTATCTAATTGTAACCACAACCCCATTTAATTGAAATATACAGAAACATGAAATTCAGAGCACATAAAAAACCTCTAATTTGGAAGCTTCTAATGTTCTGGTAATAAGAAATACTAATAATGTTTTGGTAACTTTCCTGTCCAAAACTAATTCCTGTGAGGAAGTTGCCAAATCTCATCCAGCATCTGTATTTTAGTAGCTCAGAAATATCTTCTTCAATGGTTGAAAATAATTTGATAAAGGAACATTTTTTTCAAATGTGGGAAGAACATGAAATTCAAGTTTCAATACCTATAAAGTTAACACATACTGAAACGTTATTTTCCTACTGTCTATGGATGTCCTGTTTTCTATTAAAACAACAGAAATGCATATTTTTAACAGACTACTCACGGTACAAAGTATGAAATAAATATCTGCTGGTCTTTCTCCAAAAACTGTTTAACTGTTAATTTACGGTGAATCCTCTCTACTTTACAGTGACCCTTCCGTCTAATAACCTGGATTCTGCTTCTCTTTCTCCTCTTAATCAAATAAATGCAATAAAAATGCATACCCTTTCCCCATTATTATATATATACATATACATATATATATATGCAGAGAGAAGACAAAGAAAGGAAAATAAAAAATAAGAAAATCCAGACTCTTCTTAATGCAAAAAAGTACCATCTGATTTTTTTTTAAATTAAGAATGCCTTGCTTATCTAGTAAGTAAAGTCAAGAGAAATTTTTCTAGAAAAAAGTTCAAAAAGGTACTAAAAACTATTTGACTCAAACAATATTTTCGATTTGATTTCTAGTTAGTAAAATATTCCTACAAATGAAAGTTCTACAGAAGAACCTTACGTGTAATCCATGGCTTACTGAATTAAACTTAACAGCAATCTGTCTATTATAAAACAGTTTCACCGTAGAGGTAAATATACTGAATCACTGTGTGATTTTGAAATGCACTTGAAAAACCCAGGGTAGACTAGTGACAGAAACAAGGATATACAAGAAAGCAACAATATCCTTCTAGGTGGCAGGGCAAAAGGTGTGTAAACCATAAAAAAAAAATTCTTCTAACTATAAATGCTGGGGGTAAAACTGTTACCATATTTTAACTTTGTAAAAAGCATGTAATTTGGAAGCAGAAAAAGAGAAATATCTGCATAATCAATGACACTTAATACCATGTTTGCCGATTTTTAACTGCTTTTTGGACAGTCCTACACTTTCCAAAAAACTACAAACACAAATAGCTATGACTGACCATATATGTAATGGCAACTTAACAGTGTGTCAAGGAAACACACATTTGGAAAACATACACATAATGTTCCCATATACATGGCAAGCAATGGAGTCAGAATGGCAGCATAAGTAACCATAAAAATTATCTGGAATAGAAGCAATTAAAACAAGTACTAAGATGTTGAAGCCTAAGAAAACAGCAGCTATCAGGAAGTGAAGACATGACAATGAATTTAACTGGAATAAAAACTTAACAGTAATGATAAAACAGGGGTGAAAATAAGGAAGGGAGAGAGAGATCTTTGAATGCAGGGAGAGGCAGTGACATCAGGTACTTAGGTCCCTGCAAAGCAGAAGGATGGTAGAAACAGGCAGTTCTGGACTCCTTGTTTTCAACTTGGGTTAGATCCAGCTGCAGAGGCCTTTGGGGAGTGAATCAGAAGATAGAAGATTGCTAATACTGAATATTTTAAATAAATGAAAATTCTAAAAGACTATAACCGATAAAATGAAGAGATGGTTCTGTGACATGACCACCCTCCAAAAATGACTAGCTCAAATTAGTTTACTAAAATAAAAAAATTAACTCAATGTAGCCAGTTGATCTAGCAGTTAGGACTCGTGTTAAGATGTGCATGTCTCATATGGCAGTAAGTAGATTTGATCACCACCTCCAGCCTGTTGTTGGGTTTTTTTTTAAGATTTATATTTATTCATTTGAAAGACAAAAAATGAGGAGGGAAAGAGGAGAAAACAGAGAAGTCCTCAAACCACCAGTTCATTCCTCAAATGGCTGTAATGGCAAAAGCTAGGCCAGCCCAAAGCCAGGGGCTTCCCTTGGTTCTCCCATGTGAATGCAGAAGCGGAAGCACGTGAGCCATCCTCCAACTGCTTTTCCATTAGCAGGGAGCTGGCTCAGAACTAGAACAGCCAGGACTCAGACTGGCACCTACATGGAATGCTGGCAATACAGTCATGGCTGTAACGACTACACAAAAATGCTGGCCCTAGCTATGGTCTTGATTCCAGCTTTATGCTAGGATCCTTGGGGACAAAGGTGAGGGCTCACATACGTGGGACCTGAAATCAGTTTCTGTCTCATGATTCAGCTCCTCAGTCACTGTAGGCATTCAGGAAGTGGACCAGCGAATGGAAGCTGTCTCTCTGCATCTTGAATAAATAAACAAAAATTAAATAGACCCCTATACAGTCAATGATGCAGAGCCAACTAAGTGATACCACAGAAATACAAAAGATTAAAGAGTAAGAGCAAATACATCCCAACATACATAGTAAGAAACGGAAGAGTTCTTGGACACATACACATTAG